GGAGTTATATTAAAAATTATCCTGGCCCCTCCAAGCCTTTCATTGGGGGTAAGCGGGTGCTGATTGTCAACAGTCCAGAAGACGTGAAATAAAGTGCGCACATCCGTAATAAAATGTCCCTCACACGGCTCCAGGGGGGTGAATAAAGGCCTCCTGTAGTGAATCCATGCATTTTTGTAGCTGTCACCTGACCGCTCCATTTCCATGGCAACTATCAGACGAACAGCATCGCTGATGAACAGCTGTGGTTCTGTGCTGATCGCTGGAATGTATGATGTAAATGTCTGAGATACTGAAATCACCAGTACCTCAGTGATTCATGGTAATCTACAAAATGTGCATAACCCACAATGCAATGCACCCAACATGATGTAAAGCACATAGCAAAAAAGAAAAAAAACACTAAAACGTAAAATACAAAAAATACAAAAAAATACAAAAATAAAAGCTCATCCAAAATATTAATACATACTGTAATAGTATAAAAATAACACATGCTAAATTATCCCACATGCAGATTTGAACGGATCACAGGATTACGTTATTCGTGATCTCTCTCTCACTGAGACTGACACCTCTGCCTCATTTACTGACTCTCTGCTATTGCTATTCTGCTGGCATTTGTTTCTCTGGATGGCTGCCGGCGGAGGTCCGTCAGGGTCCTAACGAGTGTGAATCCAGGGCGACTGGGCCTGTCAGAGCAGAGCTGTCATTAGCAGCACACACTGATACAGCCGTCTGTGACAGAGAGAGATAGACAGACAGACGACCAGAGCTGCTTCATTCAAAGATGAACATTTGCTGAAAATTTACTCCCATCCAAGATGTAGATGAGTTTGTTTCTTCATCAGATTTGGAGAAATGTAGCAAAAATGAAAAGTCAGAGGTACAATTCAAGAACATGCCAAAAGTCGTCAAGATGAGCTCACAGTAGGTTTTAAAGTCAATCTTTATGTGCCACTGATAATTGATTGTTTACTGTAATCTTTTGCAGTGTTAACACTGTAATTTTATAACACTCAGGCTTTGGTCACTTAAGTTATTTTTAAGTTAACCATGCTATTAATATTTTTAATACATCACAATCATAGTCATCACGTGATCACACATTTAAGGTTTAATGAATTTAAGACTTTTTTGACTTTTCAAACTAAAAAATGTGTAGCTAGTTAAAAAATTGAAAAGTCGGGTACAATTCAAGAACATGCCAAAAGTCGTCAAGATGAGCTCACAGTAGGTTTTAAAGTCAATCTTTATGTGCCACTGATAATTAATTGTTTACTGTAATCTTTTGCAGTGTTAACACTATAATTGTATAACACTGAGGTTTTGGTCACTTAAGTTATTTTTAAGTTAACCATGTTATTGTCAATATTTTTAATACATCACAATCATAGTCATTACGTGATCACACATTTAAGGTTTAAACTGAACGAGCTCTTTGTCTTGCAGTAATTATTGCTTTGCTGTGTTGAAACACTTACTACTGTAATACAGAGGAAATGCTGCTTTTCAATTGCTTTTATGACTGAGGCCTCAAGTAGATATGTATAGAAGTTTTCTTTCTTTCTTGTAAAGTATGCAAATATCAAGGAATGAATGTGTCTGTAAGTTACATGAGTTGGCTCAACTTAAATAAAAGAGTTGTTTGAAATACGTATATTGTACTTATTCATTTAGCTGTTGAAAATAGTAATTCTGAGTTACCAGAACTTGCGTGTAAGTTTACAACACTAAATAAACCTTTGTTATTACAAATTATTATTCTTATTTCACTTTACTTGGTTTTTTCAAGGCAATCGGTTTGCATGCTTTTTTTAAGTAAGGTTTACTAATTGGAATTTACAGTTAACGTCTTGTGAAGCCAAAAGCTGTGTGTTTGTAAGAATAACCCTTCCTCCAGTGAAAAAGTCATTTGGACTGAATCAGGAGAGAAATATGCACAAATATGTACAAAGCCAAAACAGTCCATACAGCTCTAAACAAATATGTGGTAGGATTTTGATGTGAGAGACAACAGGAGATGGACCTTTTAACTGGAGGAATTATGGACTCGTATTTTAGCCAGAAGCAATTGTTTGAAGTTAAATACATCTTAATAATGGATTTGTTTCAGCTTTTCACTTCACAAGACATTAACTGATGGACTGGAGTGGTGTGGATTATTGTGATGTTTTTATCAGCTGTTTGGACTCTCGTTCTGACGGCACCCATTCACTGCAGAGCATCCATTGCTGAGACACTGATGCAATGCTACATTTCTCCAAATCTGATGAAGAAACAAACTCATCCTAATCTTGGATGGCATGAGGGTGAGCACACTTTCAGTAAATTTCATTTTTGGGTGAACTATTCCTTTAAGATTCAAAGTTTACTTCAAATTAAGGAATCGTTTTCTGAATCATTTCTGTCTATTTGAGTCTCACAGTCAAAGGGTCTGTGAAAATATGTCTTTGGTTGTTCGTTTTTTGGACCTCAATTACTAGTCTGCAGCACTGAAAAGAAGTGTGAGAAACACATTTTACCATCATATAGGTTTGAGAACCTGACAACAAAAAGGCAGAAGCTTTTTACTCCAAACACAAATAATCTTAGATACTATTTATACTTAGTTGTAGGTAATAGCTCATCGGTGAGCAAAGAGTCTACAAGTCGTTAAAAAGCATCAAGTAAATGTTTTTATTTTATGTCTGTGCAATTAATTTCGAACATAAAAAAATATGTTGGTCAAATCAACACGAAGAGAGGAACTTTTTTTCTTTTTTTAATAGGAGTACATAATTTCTCATATTTTATATTGTTTAGTCTCTGACAAGCTACAATAGAGGTTTTCTGTTTGTACATTAATCTTTATATATATATATAATGTAGTGCATGGAAACCAGTTAGGAACACAGAAGTCGTAACTGGATTTTCAACACACTAGGAGGGTTAAGAATGCAATTATGGATCTGGATAAAACAATCAATCTATATAAAGGCATTTGAAAAACAGCACAAATACATATTCAGTTTATCAGTTTCTAAGATTGTTTTAATGTGACCTTCATATAAGAAAAATAATAAAAAAGTTGAAGTATGTTTGTTTTAATAAAATTAAACTTGTGGAATATTAAAGTCCAAACAGCTGAAGAAACATTTAGTTCTGATGTTCTGATGAGAAATCTGAGCTCATCCAGACCTGCGAATACAACTGATGTGCATTGATTATGCAGCGCCTGTCTGTCTGTGTGTGTGTGTGTGTGTGTGTGTGTGTGTGTGTGTGTGTGTGTGTGTGTGTGTGTGTGTGTGACAGTGCAGCACATTTCATTAACTCAAACACTTCATAAGTGCCAATCAAACTGACATGACTGTAGAACGAACACACACACACACACACACGATTAGATTAGATACATAGTTTTACCTGAAAAAGTTGACTGTTTTATAAAAGAATGATTCTTCTGGTCCAAACAGACCTGGAATATGAAAATAGTATAGATTTTAAATGCATTATGAGAGTTAAAGAAATATGTTTAATTAAATGATCATCCATTCAAAAACATCCTGATGACATAAACACTTTGCAAGAAACTTTTTCCTTTTGTGTTTATTGAAGAAGAAAAAAATCACATGGGTTTGTGAGGGTGAATAAATGATAAACGATTTATTTTGGATGAATTATTCCTTTAAAAACAAACCCAACAGACAATGTTATGCAGCGGTTGTGCTTATTCTTCTCAACTAACCCACCAAATATGAAGACTTTACTATAGAGTAGATGTGCCACAATCATCAATCATCCGACATGATGCATCAAATTGTCCCTGAAAGATGTTTTAATGTTCAATTTACCTCAAGCATTTCAAGGATTCATCTGTAACTCAATAAAAGTAATTTCAATAGATGTTCCTCATTGTTCCGTATAGAGCTGAATTAGAATTCTGTCTCCATGGCAACTTGTCATCCTGGTTCCAAGCATCTTTTAATTTCCTTAAAGAGCACTGGATTTCAAAACACGTTTTCGCTTTTTGCTTATCCAACAGAACTGATTGAAATTTAAAAACCATCATCAGGAAGGAGAATAAATCTTATTTAGCAGCCAGGCAGACTGACGGGCATTAGAAGTTTACTGGCGTACAGACATACAGTTTAGTTTATAGACTCCACACACACACACACACACACACACACACACACACACACACACACACACACACACACACTTCTACACACAATAATGGCAGGCTGTTTGTTATACATTGTGAAATTATGAAATTCATTCTTCATCATTGTTGTTTTAAGCACCATCTCTTTCCTCATTTTTAAGAGTGTATATGTAAAAATGCTAGATTTTCTGTATTTTGTTCCATACACAGACTTTTTTACTTTTTTGACACCACAACTCGATAAAACGCGTGTGAAAGTATTTAAAAATGGTTGTTTTTTCATTTGATTTTTCTTGTTTTATTTGTATTTTTTTGTGTGTTCCCAATTCCCGTCATTACCATCACACCAAGCATTTTATTTAGTTTTTCCGTACAATTTGTTCGATTATGACTGAAATGAATAGTGACAAGAGACCACAGCAGTCATTAATTTAACTATTTTTACATGACGGAACACTTCTGGGAACATTTGACTAACCAGCTGCCCTAATATTTTAGTTCAGCATTTTGAATTCATTGCTTTTGCGTGTAATATTCTCAGTACTTGAATACATGTAAATTCAAATCGTGATCTGAAAGTGGCTTCATTAGGAATCATTACCAAATTAAGTAATATTGGAGAATTTAATTCTGAAGCAATCAATTTTTAATTTTATTCTAAATTAAGTTAATTTGATTGTTGTGTTAACCAAGGTGAAAAATGTCATTACCATCACACACAGTATTACACATTATACCACAATCCACTTGAAGGCTGATTAAGACCACAATAAAATCTTTATTATATTACTTTTTATTACTTATATCTTTTTTACCATATATGTAATATACTTTCACATCAAAAGAGCCCTTAATAAAAATAAAAAAAACGTGTCAGGTTGCAGAAAACGCACACAGCCAGCAACTCTCGGCTTCACTCCGTCAGTCATTTATTTGTTGGCAAACAAGTTTCACTGTTACAACAAATATTAGTGAGAGGTCATTCAACCACAGGAGAAAACAAATAAAAATAAACGGATAAAAGAATAAATAAAATCATATTTGTAATGATAAAAATTCTAATATGTGCCGCATTCATTTTACCCCCAGACATTTTGCTAAATAGTTTGTACTTTTTTCCTCAGTGAAATAAATAACCATTCATTCTCCACCAGAAAAAAATGAAAGCAAATAGAAGGTATGCTGGATCTCTGCAGTTAAATCACAAAAGTGCATCTCTATCACTCTCTCTGAATGAAAACGACCTCCATTGATCATGTACTGCGATACGTCTCATATCTCTACTCCAACATATTTTCCACGTTATGTTTCCTTTCTTCATTAATCTACAAACGGGAGTCTATAAATCAAAGAGAATGAGGAAAAATATGAATTCTTTGTCTGTCCTGTCATTTTTTTTCTACTTGCCATTATTCATACTGAAATGAAGACGTGAATGTAAAATTTATCATTTAAAAAAAAGAGCAAGGGATCAAAACCTGTCGTTGAGGACGAGACCATCGGGAGAGAAAGGAAATGATCTGAAATCACCATGGTTACAGAAGCGGAGGGCGTAGGAACAGAATAAGCACTATCCTGTGTAACACTAGTGTCTGTACATTTACATAGAAATATTGTAGAATTCTCCGGTATTAGTTCTTCCCCCGCTTCTCGATATTTGTTATTAATACAGCAAAGAACAGAAAGCGTGTGGTGAAGACGCCCTTCTTCGTATTGTTCTCCGTCGCAGCAAAACGTGCTGCTTTTCACCACGTGAGAAGAAGAAAAATATTTAAAAAGCAAATATGGATACAGAAGGTATTAAAATAGTTTTCGAGTCACAGACTTGATTGGTGTTGACTAGACGCGCTGAGCTACTAACAATCTTTTTGGCAGTTATCTGTATTCCTTCAGGGTCGCAGAGAGTAAAAAACCCACAAAATCTCACACTGCCCCGCAAGATTACACAGCAAATCCATTTTCGGGTCTGTTCTCCCTTGAAGTAGAAATGCACTACCAATAGAATCCAAAGGATGTCAGGTTTCATTCCTCAACAAGCAAGAGTACCCATAATCCTCTCCTGAACGGAATACAAAATCGCCTCCCAAGGTTTGTTGCTGTAGTTCATTTCTCTGCGGACATGGAAAAGCAAAACTGAACAACTGCGGACAACTGAACGGTACGGAAACGTAGAAGATCCAGCGGAGGTCGAGATGTCATGGGTTACGGGTGTGAATGCGACGGGGTTTGGCGCCCTCTATAGGCTGGTTACCATGTGTGTGGTTTCCTGCGGCGTTTCTTCGGGCGAAAGCTCATCTTTGGGAGGAACGATAAAGCCGTCGCTGCTGCCGCGGCCCAGTTGGTAGTAGCTATGCAGCTGGTGCAGATGGTTGCGCGAGCCCAAGTTGGGCATGCTCTTATAGTAAACGTCGTCCGGCTCGCCGCTTCTGGGGAGCGTGTGTGTGTCACCGCCGTGGGGCAGCGAATGCGTGTCGGAGCGTTCGGGGTCAGGCAGCGTTGGCATGCTGGTGTAGAGCGAGTCTCTCTGCGGCGATGGAGTCTCTTCCGTTTGCTCCTCTGTCAGCAGAGGGAAGAAACTCTCGCTGTTTTCTTGCGGAAGGCGCCGTCGCGATGAAGAAGCCGAGCTGAAGGTGGAGGGAAGAGGCTGGACGTGGCGTGGCGGCGGAAGCAAGGGTGTGTTGGACTCCCCCCTGATCAGCTCCAGCCCTAGACTGTCCTCGTGTGGGAAAGACGCAGAGTCGTCCAAACCCAACGCGAGATTGACCGGCAGCATGGGCGAGTCCTTCACCCCGCCTCCGTTGCTGACTTCGTTCACCAGCTTGTTCATGAGGTTGCGTCCGTGCTCGGCCGTGCGGTCGTGGTTGTTCAGGTAGGTGGGCAGGTAGTTGGAGGTGAGCTCTTTCAGGATCCGTTTCTCCAGCGTGGTCTCTTTGTGTACGTTGTACGTGCGGTCGATGATTTGCACGCAGTCGCTCATGTAATCGGCGCTGGCCAAGCTGTAGCTGTTGCCATGGTTACCATTCAGTGGTAGAGTATCCATGGCACTTGTATCCCGAGCATTGTTCAGGATTCCCTCTGCAAATGGAGAGTCAGAGAGAACAGTAATTACAATAATTTGCACCTGGTGCATCTGTAAGACCGACATGCAAAACGGCTCGCTGAAACAAACCGAAAAACCTTGAAACCATTCGTCCCTGAGGCGGATATTAATTGAGCTTCCAAACCAATGCTATCTTGGGTATTGATTGGATTCGTCAGGGGCTCAAGGCTGATGTGAGGTTTAAAACTCATTCCAGAATTCACTGAAACGTGCCAGCTAAGCCTGTGATAATGGACTTACCTGTCAAACTCATCTTTGGCTATACATTTTAAACCTCAATTGTCCTCATCTCACATATCAAATAACACACAAATCACTCTGCAAAGCTGGCAAACACAACAGAAACACAATGCACGAACACAAACACACAACAATACACAACAGCTAATGCATGTAAAAGCTTTCGACAAACCAAATCATGCTGGCCTTTATATAAAACTCATATATCATTAGGTACAGAGAGAGCAGCTTCTCCACCTATAGATTTCTACGTTAATTAAATTTTGCATACTATCAGCGTCTTGATGTTAAATTCTTCATGAAAGAAGTGTGCAAGCATGGACTATTAACACTCTCCCACACTCATATAACGAAACGTGGGAGCACTTTCTCGTTTACCAATTTTTAGCTGCATCATTTGAGCATAAACAAATAAATAGCATTTGGATTACTTATCGATGGCTTAGACAAATATGCAAGTTTTAATTTGGGAGAAAAGACCAGGGTTGCAAAACACCGAATTGTCCACTCAGTTTCTTTTTTAACAAAAGCATCACTTTGCATTGATGAAGAGACGAGAAAATTAGGTTTTCATTTTAATGAGGTTGAGAGTGCTCTCTGATTAGAATATTGACTAAAACATCTCTTAGCAGAATGGCGTTTACTATAGTTTTAAGGAAAGAGTAATAACGGTAAGAGAAATTACATTTGGTAAGCAATGTTTAGTTTGACTCCCATACTTGTCTCTCTGTAGGGCTCTTAAAGGACAGCATGGAAAAAGGAAAGAGAAAAAGGTACAGGTAAGCATTCACAGTGACCGCTCAAATAGAACATGCACACAGATTAATGAAGCGCAGGTAAACGGTTACGCTCAACCACTTTGTTTCACCTCTCAAATACAGACACACACCCCTGTGTCCCCTTGCAAATCCCAGGATGCACATGTAAATGCCATAAATTTGTGCTTTAAAGCCCCCTGAATGTCTGGAGGGCGCAAAAATTGCTTCTGTCTCCATTAGTGGCGTGCTCAGCTCTGAACACGGTTCCACGATTAGACTTGTATTCGGTAAGAGAGTTATTGATCGAGCTAAAGAGGAACATTAAAAGTGGCCTGGGATCTATTCGTAATTTCGGGGCTTTTATTGATATTAGATTTCAAGGTCGCTACAATGTTGTCACTGTAGATGAAGAGGTTGTTATCCAGCGCTCGGCCTTCCCCACTGACGTTGTCCAGAAACGCGTCTGTCTCTCTGTCTCTAGAGCCTTATGAATTCTTTCAAATCTATGCGTTAGTGGAGGTGGCAGTAACAGGTGGTGACGGGGAGAAAGCAGATCGCCAGTGCAACAGACAGACAGGGCGAGACAGCTGCATGCAGAGATGCGTTACTGCTTAAAGGAGAAGCCAGGCCTCCTGCGGGCATTGCAGTGTGAGAGCACGGTAGATTCACGTTCTAAAAAAACACGATAGGCATATGAAGTATTGCGCTGAAAAAAAAACAGACTTTTTTGCATGCCGCTCTGAAAAAGAGTGCTCGGTTACGTCACATCAGTGCTGTGACATGCCACAAAAAACTCCTAGCATCTGTCCAAACCCTTCTGCATGAGACATGTCTTCATAAGAGTGAACGTACAATGAGTGTATGTATAAAGCTGCAGTGTCATTATACAATGCTCGTCCTGAAATGCCAGGCAATAATGCATGTATAAAGTTTGCAGTCACATTTCTGTTATCCCACGCTTATCCTGAAATATCTTGCCTCCTGCAAGCATTGCAGCATGAGTGCATGGTAGATTTCGGGTCTTAACACTTTAATTGTGTGAAGTCTTACTGAGTGTTTTGCATGCAGGGAGTACATTTATTGTTTTTAGTCGCATTAGTGCTGTGACACCACAGAAACACTTAGCACCTAACCAATGACATGCCTTCAAAGACTGGACGATTTTGTATTTTGACTCAGCACTAATGCACGTATAAAGTTTGCAGTCGCATCTGTTATCCCATGATGGCAATGAAATGCCATGGCGAAACTTGTTGATTTCTCAAGATGTGTGAAGTCTTACTGATTGTTTTCATGCAAGGAATGCATTTATTGTTTTCAACTGCACCAATGTTGTAACAAGTCACAAAAACAGTGTAGTGTCGCTGTCCAAACCCTAATGCATGAGGCACATTAGACTGACATGTCTTCAGTCAAGGGTGGACAGTTTTGTCTTGTGATTAAGCACTGATGCATGTATAAAACTGCAGTCGCATTTCTGTCTAGATGAAAAAATGGTTATCCCTTGCTTGTCCTGAAATGCCAGGCCTACTGCAAGCATTGCAGCATGAGCACATGATAGATTTCTGGCCTATTAGAACACTCTAGACGTGTGAAGTCTTACTGAGTGTTTCGCATGCAAGAAGTGCATTCATTCTTTTAAGTTGCATCAGTGCTATGACACGCCACTGTCCAAATCCTTATGCATGAGGCACATTAGACTGCCATGTCTTCAGTCCAGAGTGGACAATTTTGTCTTGAGCTTCAGCACTAATGCATGTATAAAACTGCAGTCACATTTCTGTCTAGATGAAAAAATGGTTATCAAATGCAAGCATCACAGCTTGAGCGCATGGCATATTTCTGGCCTAAAGGAACACTCTAGACGCGTGATGTCTGTGTTTGTATGCAAGGAACATATTCATTGTTTTTAGCTGCATGAATGCTGTGACATGCCACATAAACCATGTAGCATCGCTGTCACATTAGACTGACATGTCTTCAGAAGAGTGGACTATTTTGTATTGTGATTTGGTACTAATGCATTTATGAAGTCTGCAGTCGCATTTATGGCTAGATGAAATTGTCCTTATCCCATGCTTGTCCTGAAATACCAGGTCTTCTGAGGTCATTGCAGCATGAGCGCATGGTAGATTTTTGGTCTTCAGATGTATGAAGACTTACTAAGTGTTCAGAGGCGAATTAATTGTTTTGAGTTGCATGAAGTCTAGTGTGGCTGTCCAAACCCATCTGCACCAGACACAATAGTGTGACGTGTCTTGATTTGATGGGTGATTTGATTTTATTCTGCAATTAGGCACTGATGCGCATATAGACTGCGTCGCAGTTCTGTCATGCCGCGAAATGGAGCCATCAGTTATTATAATTATTTCAGCTCTATGAACTCATTTTTCATTGGGAATTACGTGTTTGTTTGGACAAGACTGTACCAGACAAAAGACAAAGATGGCCACAGACACATTCAGCTTGAAGCCACATAGCGGAGCCCTTTCCCCCACCACACACAAACACACACACACACACACACACACACACACACACACACAGTTAGTGCATTGGAAGTTAAAGCAACGGAAGAATGCAGCACACCTTGAGCGTTGTACATGCTGAGGGTGGGGTTGTTATAGATGGCTAATTCGCCCAGTAAGGTGTTATAGGGGTTGTTAGAGGTGTGAGCGCGCAGCAGAGAGTTTGGGATGAGGTGATTGGCCATGGCACCTGATACAGCCGCACAGATGGAGAGAAGAACACACAGAGAAGATCAAACAAATGCACCAACAATGTTAGCATCGTTATAATACAGACGTCTCATCAGCAGCCACAGAAAAAAAGCAAGAGCATTCAACAAACGTTAGCATTCGTATCTCATCAGAGTCTCTAACGGTCTATGCGAGTGAATGCTGCAGTGAATTTTGGAAGAACATTATCTCTTTTACAAACACCACAAATATTGATGACTCATTTTGCACCTAGGCCATAAATATACATATTTTTTTCCAATCAAATGCTTTATCTGAAAGTATTTTTTCTTATTTAGTGGAAATGTAATGCTGTAATAAATCATAATTACGACATAAGTCACAATTATGAGATACTAAGTAATAATAACGAGATATAAAGTCACTTATGACAAAATTACCTTTTATTTATGTATAATAATATATCTCATAATTGTTACTTGTCATAATTAGACTTTATCTCATAATTTTAGCTTAGTGTCTCATAACTTTGACATTTTGTAAAATTAGATTTTTTTTTGTTATAACTGACTTGTTATCTCACAATTTGTTGTGTCATAATCTCATAACAGTTTTTTATCTCAAAATTAAGACATTTTGTCAATTTAGACTTTATCTTATAATTGTGACAGTATCTCATAATTTTGACTTTTACATAATAACTGACTTATCTCACAATATCTGTTTTGTCATAATCTCATAACGCCTTTTATCACAATTACGACTTCTCATAATTCGGACTTTCTGTTATAATATTAAGTTTATCTCATAATTATGTCTTAGTATCTCATAATTTTGAGTTGTCAATTTTGTCTTTATATAATAACTGATTTTATCACAATTTATATGTTCTGTCAGTCTCATAATGTTTTTTATCGCATAATTATGACTTTATCTCATAATTTCGACTTATTTCATAATTATGACTTTTTTATGTCATAATAATGATTTATCAAAGCATTTTTTTCTCCTTATGTGGCAGAAATAGGCTTCCATAAGAATACGAATGTTCCTCCTCCTAATTTCCCCTACTGTACATCTGACTAGCAACAGCATGTAGCAAATCATGTTTCACGTCTGTGATGTCAACAAAAGGCTAGTGGTTATTTAAAAAGAAACAAACCCTTTATGTCCTGCCAAAAAACAAGAAAGACAACTCTGCTCATCAAACCATTTCATAGAGTGTTTAATATCTGCAGCAGTGGTGATAAATGGGGATGAATTTAGAGACAGAACTTCTCTGAAAGGTTGTTAACATGCGAGCGTGCTTTAGCATGCTGACAGATATATCTCTCCAAGATGCTGTGTCTCGAAAATTCATCCCCTTTAAAGCACTGCTTTTGTAACAAATTCTCCTCCATATTCTTCATTTTCAAGACAATTACTGCTGGATTGAAATTGCCTGCTGTGAGCAGTGTTTCTATTAGTATGAATAATCTCTCGAAAGGCCCACACAGAATCTGTGCGCACCCATTTCCACAAAATTGGATTACCTGATTTTCAAAAAGTTCTACATCTCCCACCCCTTGCATTTGTTTATTAAATATTTTAGCTAATTTGATTATGCTTTTAGTTATCAATAAGTGTATAATGCTTTCAGCTCAGCTCTCAGTTTTTTCTTACTTTGCAATAACAAGACGTTATAGCTTTTATTTTATTTTATTTTTTAATTCTGCCCATTTAACACACATAAACAAGTCTGGACATGATTCTAACCTAAACAACTAGTCATTCAAACAACCTACCGATTAGTCAATTTAAAAAAATATGTCATTGTATAATCACTTTCTGTTTGAATGTCCTATGAAGATCATTTCCAATATGAGCTAATTTATTCAACAGAGGTTCGATTGTGATTATCAGCGTAGGCACATTTATTATGCTGTCGGCTAATTACACACCTCTGAAAATCATACGCTGAACACTGAGATAAGCACCTTCAGAGATACGACACAGAAAGAAAGAGACATACAGGGAGGTTCACTGAGGTTGAGGTTTAAATGCGCCCTTTTCTGCAAAGGAAATGGTTACACAAATTGACCCTTGACCTACACAGTGTTTGCACGGAAGACCCTGACCTCTGAAAAATGATCTCCAAAAGTGAGCTAAACCTCCAATACAACAACATCCCTTTGAGGAGGTAAATATGACTCATAAATATATGATGGCTGTCAAAATATACACATTAACATGATTAAAGATGTCTAATGTGCAAAGATTAAAAAAATCATTTTAATGCAGTTAACACATTTGCCAAATTGTATGAGCTAAACACTATAATTTAGCAGAAGACATCTCAAGATGAGTAAGATTAAAACCATAAAGTATTAGGGTAGCAGTAATAGTACCACATACTTACTACTATACTATATAAACTTATATTACTAAGTACTTCCAGTGTGTGTGTGTGTTTATATATAAATAACCACACACACGCGCACGCACACACACACACACACACACACACACACACACACACAACTATAGCAGAAAGTACTATAGCGTAATATAAGTTTATATAACATAACTTTACTCAGTATTTTCTGCTATAGTCATAGGTAGTACATAAGTCAAAATTGACAAGTCAAAAATATGAAATATTCTCATAATTATGAGATACTATGTCAAATATGAGATACAAGTTTAAATTATGACAAAAGTCAAAATTATAAGTAAACAAAGTCAAAAAGTAAAACATTATTGGATACTACGCCATAATTATGAGATAAAGTCTAAATTATGACAAAAGGTTGAAATTATGTGATATAATATCATTTTATTTATTTATTTAATTAATTTATTGTCATAATTGACTTTATCTCAATATGACCCATGCATTATGACTAAATCGGTTAACATCAAAAAAGTGTGATTCAATAATTAACATATTTCAATAATAATTTGTAGTTGTTATTTATACTAAATATTTAAATTAACCGGCAGTCCTAAAATAAGCTTTCAAATGTTTTCTTTGAAGTTAGTTTGTAGTTATTGTAATTATTTGATGGTTTTGTGTCTCTCAGAGTGTAATCTGTCCTGTGACTCAGTAAACGTGTGTGTGCGTGTGTGCGTGTGTGTGTGTGTGTGTGTGTGTGTGTGTGTGTCTTGATGAGTCTTGTGATTTCTCTGCATATCTCTGGTTTGTGTCTCTGGTTAATACATCTGTCTGCTCTGAGTAATATGAGTGATGGAGCGTCTCACACACACACACACACACACACACACACACACACACACACACACATCTG